TTGTATATAATCAAAATAAATCTGAACACTTTAACGGTAACTAGTATCACTTTGCAAATTTTTTTTTTAACTTAGATTTATATTTCTTCAAAGCTTCCAGTTTTACAGGATCAACTGAAGTTACATCTGATCTTTTCGACACTAAATTAACAAATCGTTGATCTGTCCCACTTAAAATTCTACCCACTTGCTTACACCAAAAATGTAAGATTGTCGTAACTAGTAAGTTAACAACTAGTGTTCCTAATTGTGTATGTGTTGTGCAATTAAGAATATTAAAATTTAATGACTGTGTCAGATATTTCACTAACCTCTTACGCAACATATATTGATGGCAGTGCCTAGGTATTAAATAAAATAATAAAGTACATGTTTGGCTTACAAGAAAATACAAGCAACTCCCTGGCCGAAATAATTGAGAATTTTTATATTCTCTAGCTTCTATTACTTGTAAAGGCACATTACCGTCTGAAGCTGTTAACAATTCTTTACATTTAACACATTTTGTTTTTTTTAAAACCCTTCTGCCAATGAAACCAGCTACATAAGCTATAGTAGCTTTCGCCACAGGAGTTTTTTTGCAATGTGTAATCACAGGTATGTCATCCTTTATATCAGCTTCGAAAGGAGAAATGCCAGCAATATCTTCTCCAGTTACAAATACGCGTAAATTATCGAGCGCACCTACATTAAAATCATATTCACAATTTGCTCCAATAGAATGAGTGGATAAGAAATTATTGATTAATAAAGCCTTAAATGAGGGAATAAAATGGTTAACATTTGGGCACACATTTCTTCTGCCATACCCTCTGAGGCATGCAAAAAAATTTTCTAGGCAGTCTTGGTTAAATGCCCTTGGTAAAATATACTTTACTTTATGTAAGAGTGATGTTTTAAAATATATGAACCCCTTTACTGTCTTCTGCAAATTTGTAACAGACGGAACTCTTGCTAATTTTCCTGTTTTCGGATCACAGTATTTCATTGACCGTATAATATGAATTGCTTCACTCCAAAATTCCTCATGTCCTGATGTTAATGTGAAGGCACCTTTAAGGGGTTTACTTGCAGGTGGTAGTTTACGGTTCCCATTGAGGCTATCAAACAGCTTGTCTATAAACAATACAAGTTCACCTGTTTGGTTAGCCTCAGAAGGCAAACTGTAATCTATGGAACGCCGTTTTACTTTTAAATACCGACAACATTAAAAGATTAAAAAAAATAATTTTACATGAAATCATTATAACTAAGAGATAATATTAAATAATTACAAATATCTTAGATATTTAAAATGCTGTAGATGTATTACAATACGTTATAGATATTTCTAAAACAGTGATTTAAAAATATCAAACGATATTTTTAATTCATTTAAAAATATCAAATGATATTTTTAATTCATTTAAAAATATCAAATGATATTTTTAATTCATTTAAAAATATCAATCGATATTTTTAAATCCAAACATATACTTTCTGGTATCACATCGTAAATAGTATATGGTTTACACATGAATTTTTTTAAAATTTATTTTACATATTTTCAATCGCTTTGCATTTTAAGACAAAATTTCTAAATCGTAAAATTGCAAATATCAAAAACCATCTATACCATATTAAATTTTCCGAAAAAAATGTTAAGAATTAAAAATTTCATTTGATATTTTTAAATGAATTAAAAATATCGTTTGATATTTTTAAATCGTTTAAAACATTAAAGCATATTTTTAATTTACGTCAAAACAGCAAATGATAATTTTAATTGATTTAAATATATTAAATGACATTTTTAAAACATTTTAAATAAAACGAATTAAAGAATAACATTTGATATTTTAAATAAATTAAAATATTATTAAATATTCTTTTTTTTTTTTTTTTTTTTTTTTTTTTCTTCAGGAGGGGAAATGCAATGACGCACTAAGTGTGGGGCTCCCCCAGATACCGGGTATACCCACTAAAACCCCTCCTGAGGCATCGACTACTATGGTCATTTGCCTTATTAAATATATATATATAGGTATCAGTGTAATTTAGACTTAGATTTTAGATATTAGTCCAGTATTTCTAAGATATATTATAACTGCTCCACATCGATCTTTATTTGTCAAAGTTTCTATTATTTCTTCACTGAGGTTACACCGTACTCTTTCTACATTATATTTGGGACACACACAAAAAACATGATCTACAGTTAGGTTGACTAAACATTGTTCGCATTGGGGAGGATCTTGACTCATCAAAAGAAATGAATGCGTGAGGGAAGTATGTCCCAATCTGAGCCGATATATCTTTTCAAGATTGTATCTTCCCTTAATTGGTAAGAATATCGGACCCACAACCTCCTTGAACTTCCTTAGGAACGCTTCCGATTCACTCCACTGCCCGTTCCACATTTCCCATATTCGATCTTTAACTAGGGACCGACGGGCGTCCTTGGATAGTTCAGACATGTCTTCGGCTATCAGGTTCAATTCGGTCATAATTTCTTTGGCTCTCACAGTCAACGATCGACACCTAATTAAACGCGCACCTTCTATTACATCTACCATTCCGTGATAGTTCGGGTGATTCCTATCCAGCGAGACTTTTATGTAATAATTTGCTGCTATTTGCTTTCTTCTAAGAGCAAGAGGGGGAATATTAGCCTCGACATGGAGAGATACGACTGGAGATGTTGGAAAGGCGCCAAGTGAATACCTTATTGCCAGGTTTTGAATTTTGTCTAGTCGTCCTAACAATACATTACTACAGGTAGAATAGACATGAGATCCGTAGTCTATACGCGATAAGATCAAGGCTTTATATAGGTCCAGCATGGTTTTAGGGTGGGCTCCCCATTTATGATGAGCCAGCACCCTTAGGATGTTTAGTGATTTCCTGCAAGATACTACTAAATTGTCTACATGTTTCGTCCATCTGAGCTCGCTATCATACGTTAAACCTAAGAATCTTATATCATTAACAACATTAATGCCCCGATCGTTCATAAATAGAACTGGGCCGTAATGTGGTCTTCGGAGTCGACAGAAGTGTACACATTTTGTCTTCTCCTCCGACAGTACAAATCCTACAGCGTTAGCATTTTTTGTAATTTTGTTTATTGCCACTTGCAATTTACGTGTTATATCACCCACCGTTTTACCTGCACAGCATATCATTAAGTCGTCGACATATAAACATTTCTCCACTTCCTCCGCGACATTTATAGCAATTTCATTAATGGCAATACCAAACAGGGAGCAGCTAAGTGTTGACCCCTACGGTACCCCATTTTCTAAGACATGCTCGTTCGAGTAAGTGTCACCGACTCTGACCACAAATTTCCTGTCTTCTATAAACGATTGTATAAATTTTGACAGATTCCCGCGTAAGTTATATTTAAACATGTTTTTTAATATTCCGTGCCTCCAGGTCATATCATATGCACCTTTTATGTCAAAAAAGACACCGACCAAATGTTCGCCATGATCGAACGCCCTCAGGATTTGGTTGCTTAACCTGACCAGGTGATCAATCGTCGATCGCCCCTTTCGGAAGCCGGTTTGATATGGTACGTATATATTGTTGTTTTCAAGATACGTTTGTAACCTCTTATTGACCATTTTTTCTAATAGTTTGCCTAAGCACGAGGTCAAACTTATTGGGCGATAGTGCTGTGCCAGCAGCGGATCTTTTCCCGGCTTTGGAATAGGAACTACGATGGCCTGCTTCCATTCTGAGGGGTAAGTAGAATGGTTCCAGCAGTTGTTGAAGAATTTTAAAATGGATTCTTTCATTTCAGGACTACTGTGGCGAAGCATATGGTTATGGATGCCATCCTGTCCCGGTGCACACGATTTGGTGGTACGAATTGCAGTGTCTAGTTCTTCTGTGGTAAACGGTTGGTTATAATCTAAATTATCGTCGGTATTAAAATTTAAAGGTGCGGATTCTTTTACAGGTTTGGTCTCTAGAAAGATAGGATGATAATTTAGAGAACTACTAACTTTGTAGAATTGATCTGCAATGATGTTTGTTATATCCTGCAGGTTGCTTGTAATTATCCCGTCATTATTGCGTAAAAACGCGGGGTAATTGCGACCAATTTTTCCGGATATTGCTCCCACCTTCTTCCAGACTTCGTTACTGGTTGTCTCCGGTGTCATAGTGGATACATATTTTTGCCACGAATTTCTTTGTGCCTCCAGTATTCCTCGGCGACACTCGGATCTTCGTTTTTTGAAGTTTATTAGATTATCCAATGTAGGATTCCGACGGAATCTATTTAAGGCATTTTTCTTTAGTGTTATTTTAGTTTTTATTTCAGGTGACCACCATGGGACCATTTTTCTGATACGGCCGGGTTTTGATTTAGGGATACTTCCTTCGGCGGCTTCTAAAATCGAACTGGTTGGAGATTGAAGGTTTAAGGCACTCTGATTTGGAGGGACGAGTTGTAGCCTAAAACGTTTCCAATCAGCTTGTTCAATTTTAAATTTTGCTATCGTTCTCAACGGGCGATTATCGCCTTGGATTGTGATAATTATGGGAAAGTGGTCACTGTGATACAGATCATTTTCCACCTCCCATTTTATGCTGGTATGCAAGGTCGGTGAGCATACCGACACATCGATGGAGTCAAAATTTCCCGATCGGATATTAAAAAACGTTGCCGAATCGTCGTTTAAAAGGCTTAGGTTTTTATTTTCAATTAAATTTAATAGTTCTTTGCCTCGAGCGTCGTTTGAACCGGAACCCCAAACGGCGTTATGAGAATTGAAATCTCCGACAAGGATAAAAGGTGTCGTAAGCTGATTTATAATTTTTTCGATTTCCTCAACCTCGTAATTTGTATTTGGAACGTATATATTGCAAATCGTAAAAGATCTGCTTATTTCGAGTTGTATTGCTACGGCTTGATACTCTGTATCTAGTTCGACTCGTTTGTAAGGAGTACCTTTTCGTAAAAGAAGAGCCACTCCCCCACAGGCTCTTGCAGGTGAGTAGAAATCCTTTCTTATGATGTTGAAATTTTTTATGTTATATTTTGTTCTAGGTTTTAGATGTGTTTCTTGCAGGGCAACACATAATGGCGTATGTCTTTGAATCAATAGTTTCAACTCGTTTAAGTTATTGGATAGTCCCCGACAATTCCATTGGATAATTTTGGTATCCATTACAAAGATAAGATTAAAAGAAACAACAATGGAATAAATAATATTAATAAATAACAGATCATAGTGTATAAGGGACGACTACAAACAAATAACAATTAATTTAAGACAGATACAAGAGACAGATATATCACAGATTTGGTAATTCAATACAGATTGTAGGTAGATTATCACAGTAAATATATCACGTATGGGTATCAACACTAGAGAGAGATTTTCCTAGGTTTGCCCTTTGGCCATCCTTTTTTCTTCTTTTGTTGAAGAATTTGTTTTCTCTCTATATCTAAGGCTTCTTCATCTAATATTGGCGAAGATGGGGTTGAACTATCCTCATCTCGCTTCCTCTTATCAACAGGATCCGCGATTGTCACATGACAGTCCTGGGTAAGGTTTTCAATCCTCCCAGGTTTCGATCGGCTAATTGTTGTTTCTCCTTCAGAACTTCCATGAGGTAATTCTATCGGAGACGGAGATACGGTTGGTTTCGGCATTGATTGTTTAACATACTCAACTAAGGTGGAGGTAAGTTCTTTAATTTCGTCTTTAACAATTTTTCTGATTTCAGATACCAGGTTGGGTTGAGTATCAGTGGTTAGGCGTGTAGCAACATTTGAGTACGAGTTGTTTGAAGTAACAGCCGATCCAAGCATTCGTTTTGCCTCCAGATAAGACACCTTACGGGTAACCTTTATCTCTTGAATTTGTAACTCTCTTTTATACACTTCGCAAGTTCTAGAGTTTGCAGGATGTGTACCGTTGCAATTTAGGCATACGACTGGATCGTCACATGGAGAACCCGGGTGTAAGGATTTTCCACAGACACATACTTGTTCCTTCTCACATTTTAGTGTTGTGTGTCCGAAACGTTGACACTTGTAACATCTCATTGGTTGTGGAACATATGGTCTCACTTTCAACGTATAAAAAGCCGCATTAATCACCCTGGGAAGTTGGGTGGCATTGAAGGTAAGTATAAGGTTGGGAGTATCAATGAAGGTACCTCCAACTTTGGTCCTAATTCTCTTCACCGCTACAACGTTTTCTCCACCCAGTTCTTCCAATATTTCTTCTTCACTACAGTTCATTAGATCCCGGCAGTATATAACTCCTTTACTTAAGTTTAGCGTATCATGAGGTTTCACTTGAACTTCAAAATTACACATCCTTTTAACTTCCAGTAATCGTTTTGATTGTTTATTCGATACCGTTTTTATAAATAATAAACCCTTAACTTTCTTAATTTCTTCCACTTTCCCAATTAAGCCAAACGAGGCCTTATGAATCATAAAAGGACTAATTTTGGAGAAATCTCCTTCCTTTTTCTCAACAAGCAAGAACCGGGGATAGTTATCCTCCTTTTCATTACCTGTTACAGGGAGCGGGGGAAAAAAACCACCCTCTCCATCCATGCCAGAAGCTTGTACTTGCGTTGGGGCCTGGTCATCCACCCACAACGCCGAGCAGCCGCTTGACAACGGTCGGGTGAGGCCTGCCCGCTCCGCCTCGCTCCCGACCGGCACTGGGGACCGTCCGAACCCCTGCACCGTAAGGTTTGTATTAGAAAAGCCTGAATTCATTAGCAAAGTCGTCTTAAAGCGTTTTTATGCTACCGCCAGCATTAATCAATACAGGGAAAAAGGGATAATTTGGAGTGGTATAGATAAATGGGTAGGTAAGTTACTAAAGGCGGTTGGACTCGACGCCTTTAGTGCCCATTGATCGCCTTTTACGATCTCCAGGACGGGAGTGGGTCAATTCTCTACCCCCGAGCCCACAGGGGGAATTAAATATTTTATATTTATTTAAAAATATCAAATAATATTTTAAATTATTTAAAATTATCAAACCTTATTGTTAAATTATTTATTTTAAAAGGTTTGAAAATGTCATTTGATAATTTCATAAGTTAAAAATATTGTTTATTTTTATTAAATGATTTTAAAATATCATTTAATACAAAGGTATAAATAACAAATAATATTTTTAAACCATTTACCATAGTTAAATATTTTTGATAATTATAAGTTGTAAATTCATTTTTACATATCTTAGATGTATAAAAATGCGTAAATGTAATTTAAAATATCTTAGATATTTCTAAATGAAATTCATTTTAAAATATCTAAGATATTGAAAATTACATTTGTAATTTTAAATATCTTAGACATTTGGAAATTACCGCTATCTAGGGGCAGATTTTTAAGTTAAATAACGTCTGGCAACATTGTAAGTTTTATGTTTTGTTGTTTATAACCTTACTCTTAATGGCTCTTACTTACTTCTTTTACGCGGTTTACGAATTAGGGTTTTGAAAACAAACGTAGGTACATATATTTTATAAATTATACATATTGGTAAAAAGACATGGATGTTGCTGAAGTGTTACAACGCGTTAGAAGATCATTGGCCAATGCATGTAGGATGTATGAATCAACTAACACATTTCAACATTCAGACTTGCAAAGTGCATCTACAAATCTAAGTAGAATTAGTTGTAGAATTAGTAGCGAAACATTTGATTCACTGAATTCTGCAATTAATGTACTCTTGGAACTTCCACAAGATGTTTTAAGTGATTACAGTTACTATGCGCAAACTGAAAAAGGAACGGGTAAGGTTTACAAATGTGAACATTTTAACTGCTTAATATACATATTAATTTCAGGTAAAGGTCGCCCTTCTCTTAGCATAACACGAGAACAACTCATGATATTTTATAATGAGGGATACACTGCAAAGAGAATGGCAAAACACTTTAAGTGTTCTACGAGCATTATATATAAGAAGTTATACGAGCATGGGATCAAATTAAGATCAAAGTATACAGATATAGAGGATGAAGCTTTACGAACAAAAATTATAGATTTACACCAAACGCATCCCAATAGCGGCAGTGTTGTAAGTACACTTATATTCCTTAAGTTAGTACTCGGAAAAGTGATATAAAGGTAGGCATTGGCATTCTGCCAACTGAAATTGTTCTTTTAAAGATAAATAGATACTCAATTTTATATTTAATATGTATTCACCTTTTAGTGATTTTGATGAACTTGTGATTATAGGGATAAACCAGGATAGCTGTATGAATATAGATAGGCAAGGTCGGTCCCATGGGTAATCACCCTTCCCCTATTGAACTGGAGTATAACTAGGACTGAACTGAACTGAACACTTCTTAGTAGTACTAGCTTTTAATCAGGATTTCATTATTTACATCTGGAGGCAAATCATCAATGATATGAGATTTTTTATTTTATATTTCATTGGTATGAGAAATTGTATTTGTAAAACAATTAATTTCAGATAATTGCTGGATTTTTACGTGCAGAGGGAATAACTGTACAGAGGAATCGTATTCGTTCAATATTAAATGACATTGATCCAGTGGGTACAGCTAAAAGATGGAGTTCTGTTGTAAAAAGGCGAACTTATAATGTTCCTTGTCCCAACTCTTTATGGCACATGGATGCCCATCTTAAAATTTCCCGGTAAGTTAAAAATTGGTAACTCGATATATGTTTAATATGGTTATTCATTTTTAATGCATCTTAGAAGTCAACCAAATTACCTAATTATTTTACTTGTCTTATTATACGGATGTCTAACAGAGCTCCTGTAACTTTTATCCCTGTTTCTCAAGAGACCTCAAAATCAATAGCGATCTTACTTTTACTATAGGGTCAGTTTCAGAAAGAAAATAATCTGGTGATAACACAGGGTTATCTAATCTTGTGTGTCCATGAGTTTGATTCTTGTTTTATTGGTATACACGTTTGTCATCCAATCGCTGAATCCTCATGCCCACTATACTATCAATTTCCATAACACGCGAATCAAAATAGTCTAGTTGTTAACACCAGATCATTTTCTTTCCTAAACAGATCCTAGAGTTCTTATATAGTAAGTTTCACTTTCAATAAGATGTTTGTAACTTGAGTTATCATAGACAACTGAACGATATGATAAACGATCTAGTAAAACCATGTGTCCACAGGATCGGCCCGACTAAAAATTTACCCGACTTCAATCATGCACCTATATTTTAAGTAAAGCATAACTACTGACACGATTTCAGTTGAAACTGACTAAAATCTCTAGATGCAAGTCGTCCAATGTCACATGCAGATCTTTGTCATTAGTTTCAATTTCAACTGACTGTTGTGTTTAACTGTGGATGAGCTTATCACAACCGTACAACCAAAATATGGTGGACATACTGCTGATTTTAGGCGTATCGATCCGATTGGTACTATTGTTGATTGTGTTGACTTTGGTCGGGCCGATCTGGTGGACACCCAACCTAATAATTATGAATCAGTGATGCAAATTACATGGTTATCGATCTTTCTTCTAGATGGGGATTTGTGACGCATGGGTGCATTGATGGCTATTCACGCATGATTATATATTTATCATGTGCCACTTCCATCCAAGCAGAGCCTGTTGCCAATCTTTTCTGCAGTGGTGTTGTGAATTATGGACTTCCATCTAGAGTGCGTTCTGACCATGGCTACGAAAATATTTTTGTTGCGCTATTAATGAATCTATTAAGAGGAATTGGTCGAGGAAGCCACATAGCTGGAAAATCAGTTCATAACCAACGGATTGAAAGACTGTGGCGTGACGTATATAAAGATGTCATAGACTTGATATATAAAGAAATCTATGCATTGGAGGACGATAATTACCTAAATCCCCATAATGAAATACATAGATATTGTATTCAGTATGTGTATTTACCCATTATTAATGAAAGGCTACATGCTTTTATGAATGCATGGAATTGCCATTCTATGCGTACCACTGGCAATAAAAGTCCACGTCAAATGTGGCTGGATGGAATGCTGGACAAGTGCAATACAAATCACACATCTGTACTTGAAGTTTTTAATTCTCAAACTGATCTATTTGGAAGGATACAGGAACGTTTGGAGCAGCATGGTGTCAACAATATAGTGAATGTAGAAAACCCACATCTTTCAACATTTACTGCTGTAATTAATTTAACAGAGATACAACAAAATGAGCTGGAAGTAATACAACGAAGTAACATATTGCCAAAAGATAAATATATATTATGTATAAGATATTTAAGTAATGAACATTTGTAAACATTAGATGTAATAGTTCGTAATTATTACAATTGTTTATTTATATTAAAATCACTTGTCCACAGTGCACAGATTTAAATAGATCTGTGCTATATGCTTGTCTTACTGGAGTAGTTGATCTAGTATGTATGAGATTTGATAATATGTTGATCATGAATAAAAATCATATAACATTGAAATATAAATTATTCACGTCATCCGAGTTAGTTGAATTATATGTAAAGGACAGGACATTCACATAAATCTATACAAAGGGCAAAGACTGATTAGGATATTAATGTTCAGATACTCGGTCCGTTAACTTGGCCCCCCCACTGTTAGATTTGATAGTCGTATTATGTTAAAATGAATGCGCTCGTTATGCGCTCATATGCGCCACCGATAATAACTCTTGCGCCATTATGGTTTTTTAGAAATCCGGAAAAACATTTGGGGGGGGGCCAAGTGAACGTAGCCCCCCCCAGTACGTATTTTGTCGCATGTAACTAGGTAACCTGATACATTGGGTTATGCGCTCAATTGCGCCACTTCAATTAAAGCTTGCGCCATTACGGTTAAGCCGTGACAAATTTTCAAAAAGTGGGGGGCCAACTGAACGTTTTTAAAAGTTACTTTTTTCTATCATCTTTCCATGCAAAATTGTACTCCTAGGTATGCGCTAAAATGCGCCGTAAAAAGATATCTTTGCGCCATTCTTGTTTTTTGGTTATCCTTAAAATATATTTGGGGGGGGCCAAGTGAACGTAATCCTCCATAATACATTTTGCTACCGGTATCTATGCCACTCGATACATTTGGTTATGCGCTCAATTGCGCCACTTGAATTAAAGCTAGCGCCATCGCGGTTAAGCCATTACAAATTTTCAAAAAGTTGGGGGGGGCCAACTTAACGTTTTCAAAAGTTACGTTTTTAACATAGTTTTTGCACTACATCGTACCTTCCATCATGCGCTCAAATGCGCCGTAGACATAAGTTGTTATTATAGTTTTTGGGAACCGTTTTTAGTACCTATATAAGTATATATGGGTATGCGGTGAAGTTATGTTCTAATTGTGCAATTTTCATTCGGTTTTGCAAAAATCGACCATAACTAATAGGTATTAACTTACTTGGTTCGGGGTTAATGCATTATGTCGCAATGTAGTTCATGTATTATTGTCCTGACCATTATTCAAATGGGAATGCGGCGAATTCAAAGTTATTATTAAGACGAGATGTTAGTATTATTCGATCGGGTCCGTTAATGTACATCATTTTCCTGATCTTTATTATTACAACGTTTTTAAATTAAATTGAGCTTTGAAATGGGAAAACTCACCATAACGTAACCATAACGTTTTCTCCCATTTTTAGGCTCTAATGTCCCGTGCATCTGATTTTGCCGACCTACCTAACTTATTTGATTTACAACTCTTCTATTGTTTTTACACCGTCAAAGTGGTGTCACACATAGGGGGTTGTCTATTCATTCAAACACGAGGACAAGTATTTTGTAATATTATGATCCCAGATCCAGTTTTGTTATGCCTACCTGCTCGGTTCAATAACATAAGTAAGGAATTATTTAGTTTCATTAGAATAGTGTTTAGATCAAAGTCGGCATTCGTTACATCAAGCTGTGTTATTTGTAAAATATATTCTAAACACTGCTCAAGTTATGCATAAAGCTTCTTGCAACTTGCCGCAGACTTGCCTGTAACCATTCAATTTAAGGTTGTTAGATAAACAACTGTCAACTTAGCATTAGCCCTTCTGGGTATTTCAAATCTGTTAAGCCACCTTATGTAGTTTGCTAACTTCTTCTTTTAATTGTTAATTTCAAATATTATCATTGGTTATTGACAGAGACTTGTTATAACTAGACCGCGCGTAACGTAGATTTTACTATGAACGCCTGTTGTCAAGATAGGATAGGCAACCAACTGTTCATTGCGGGGCAGACGTACTTTCTGTAGCTTGCTTTAGCCATGTTTATCCTAAATTTTAGTAGCAAAAAAAGATAACATATAGCTGTTAACTGTTTTAATCGAATTTATTGGTATTTTATTTGAACTAAATTGGTATATAACTGCCTTACTCTAGTCCTAATTTGATTTATATGTGTATTTTGGTGGTGAACACGTATGGGAAAATATACTCTTAAAACTAAAGATGTAAGTAGTAAGATATGATTATTTAGCGGATTTTGATTCAATATATGCCTATCCAAAAACCCAAATGGGCTGTAACTGTTATTTATTTTTCTTAGACTGCTGATAACCATTTTGTTTACAACGCGGTGTGGTGTGGATTGAATGAAAAACCTGAACACATTTTCAGCAATTTGGTAAATTTTTAATGCATCGCTTGATACGTGCAAAATCCTCCACGATTTTTTCTAGTTAAAAGCTTTGAATGACTCTCTGATGCGAATATCGCATCTGCACATATGGAACATTTAACAGACTTAGCTATTTTTCTTGTAACAAAACCTGAAATATACTTAGTACCAGTAAGTACTTAGTTACGTCTATACCTAATAGAAATTATATAAACAATGCTAATAGGCAAATAGGTATTGCCGTTATCTTGCTGGTAAAGGATGTCGAACAATAGTTCTACGTTATTTTAAGTGAATGGGAAAGTCGAAAACGCTCGGTATTGCATTATTGTAAATTGTTTAACACCTTCGTAGGTACCTTTCTAAAATCGGCTACATGGTTTATTCTCAACAGAAATTTATCTGTTCACTAATTCGAGCTAATCACGAGAAAGATTAATGAACGGAACATCTAAAATAACAGCTTATTTCATTATATTGCATACATCATCTCAGCGATTTTTGCCCCGCGGTGCATTGTGTGTTGCATACTGTGTCGACAACACCTTAGATACGTTAAGCGCAGTCTAGTTATAGCAAGTCTCTGGTTATTGATATTAGCCGTTACAGTATCCACCAATACTGGAGTTTGTATCCCTACTCTTTACAGCTATCTCCAGTTTGTATACTCAAGAAAAGCTCGTAAAGCTAGAGTTATCTACGAAACTTTGTAAAAACACTAAATAAAGTTGTTGAATAATTGTTTAATAAGACGTTTAAATCACAAGTTCATTTTGTTGTACGATTGTCCGGTACTGTATCTTTATAAATTGGGTACCGCAATTGTTTTGGCGCCGGAGCTTTTGAAGTAGAAACGTCAGTGCCTTTTATAGGTGAGTTATTAACTTATATTTTACTGTATTTTTAAAAATAGGTTATAATGAAATTGAGTACCAATAAATAATAAAAATTATTAATTACAAAAAAAGCTATCTTATAGTTTATCAGGATCACTATTTTTAACTATAAAATTATTTCATTTATCTTTCTTTTCCATCGTTTAATATTGCTTTAATTATTTAATTCATTAAGTTGTCATGAATGGAATTTAGTCATTCATAATATACAGGGTGGAGTAATGTGTGTGGATGGAAGATTGTGAGTTTATTAAAAACATATTCATAGTTCGTTGCTGGAAAATGGTGGAACTAGAAACCAAAAATATTCTTGCTCGAATAGCAATGCTTATATAGGGGTGATTCATACAAAAGTTGTATTTTTTAAACTGGATCTCCGGTACATTACTGCATTGGATTCCTGGGTAAATTTTAGTGTGATTATAACACAAATAGATTTTTTAGGCTATCATCACAAAAACGTTGATTTTCTGGTCGCTTTTGCGGCCATGAAGTTTCACTTTATTGTACACATCTGTCAAACTGTACTTATTTGAAACTGATGTGTGAGAAACAGTAATCTGTTTGATACAAAGCGTCTATCTGGTCTAGCCCCATCAAGGATTGGGCCATCCACGTCCGTTTTTGCATAATCACAATGTTCACATTTAAAATTATAGTTTGACGTTTCAATCTTTGCTGCTTGCATAACTTTTTGAAGTGTATAATCAAAACATGAGGAAGCTGATGTTATTGCTTACATTATTATACGAA